TTCAGTCAATTTTATTTCTTGCTAATTTATAGGAAACAGAAAACAAAATATCAAAGTATTTTCTAGTAAATTATGATTAGGTCTTACAAGTAGATGACCAATATTCATTTTTCAAGTAGTAGATGGTGGCTCAGGCCCACTGAGTCCTTACTATTTTTTAATTGACTCAAAGCCTCTAATTTATAGAAATTTTCAAGTTAAACACAGATTAATTCAGTTACCCATATGTTTAAACGTATCTTTAGAATGATATTTTTGTGAAAGTTTTCTCCAGTTCAAATGTGTCTTCTATTAGTCTGAGAATAGGTTAGTAGCAGGAAGGCCTGAGGTCTAGTTTTGACAGTGATATAGATACTTTCCATACTACAATATTTTTGAATATCTGTGACATCTGAAATGTGATAGAAACCAAATTTTTAAAATTTCCATTTCTACAGTACACTTAGGTTAATTTTTTAAAAATCTAAATCAAAGGAGAAGAGAGTTTTCTCTTTAAGGAAGAATACAAATGAATTTCAAAGACTTTCAAGCTATTTAGATCCATTATGGAAATCGCAGCCATCAAATTCGAATAACTGTCTTATATTCCTCTATGTCATATTTTGAGCACTTAATTCTATTATAGTGTTGAATAATTTAACTTTATGAGCAGGAGGTCAGGTTACAGTCAAGCTATTTGCTTTTTCATAATATTAGTGATGTCTGTAATGCACTGTAAATAAGATTTCCATCAGTGTAAGCTTATGGGTTGTTTGTTAAAAGACCAAATGTCATGTATTGATAAATTACAGTAAAAATAAATACACAGTAATAATTAGGAAAAATTAAGTTTCAGATTCTACATCTGAAAAAATAATATTTATAAACTGTGCCTGACAAAGAGATTTATGCAAGTTCTAGAGTTTTTTAACCATAACAGAGATTTTATTTTATGGTTGTTTCAAACAAGCAGTAATCACGATGGCCTGGAGGATTTTTCAGTGGTGTGGTAACCTTTTCAGGAAGGGTGGTAATCCTTCTGACAGGAGATGTATAGTGCTTAGTTGAACTGGCAGCTGGAGGGTGCGTGTCACACCCTTAAAGTTCTCTTAACTTTTAAAGTTCCAGGAAAGTCCTGAAAAGGCAGGAGTAGTCATTTTCCATGGGGTATCCAGCTGAAGGTACATGATGAAAGGCTTTTATTAAGGTATCTTCAGGTAATGGTGAGAAATGGATTAGACAGAGGCTCATGAAGGTGAGTGAGAATTAGCTAGTGATCTAAAAATAACAGCAGATTTTTGATAGTAGTGACTGGCCATAAGTTTTCAAAAGTATTGTTCCTCCTGCCATGATGTCATAACTCTGGTTTAAAATATATAGTGTACATTGTACAACTATATTTATGGTAGGTATTGTTAAAATTAAAAAATTGTTGAATATTAAAGGGGAGCTAATTGTGCTATGATTACCAGTAAAGAGAATGACAGGCTTGAACACTAAGTGGTGTGGTGACTGCAGGGCAGGATGAGCCCTCTCCTGACAGCAAGGTTTCTGGCTGATCAGGTGTACAGATACAGTTAATATATTTCTGATGGATAGGATTAACTTCTGGCATTTGATCCCAGTAGTCGAGCTGGATGCTTCAACAGGAATGAAATTAATTAGAAAGGGCGTTTGATAGTGCCAGTCAACATAGACCAGGAATTAAATTAGTTGCTTTTATCTATCAGGCTGCTTTGTCTGAAGAAAAGCACTCCATTTTCAGGTAGGTCCTTTTTCTTGCATGTGGCCTAGCAGTTACCACATGCAGGGCACCTGTACAAAGCTTTTCCCTTTATGAAAGGTTGGAATAGATTGAGGATCCAGATGCTCTTTGCATTACTGTTAGCTATGGATGGTGTTCCTAAATTCATGTCTTAACAATAAAATGGAGGATGGAAAATGACTGTTTGTGGGAAATGTAAGCACACAAGACTGGAAAATGTTCGTATGAGTGGTGTAAAAATATAATGCTAAATTGGCACATCCTACTCTCATTAACCTAGTTCATGCTAGAAAAAAAAGTGGATTTTTTGTAAATCCCGTGCCAGTTCATCAGATGATGTGTTTTCCTGATAGAAATACATTTTCCTCAGCAGTACTGTTTTTACTCATACAGAAATCTATCTCTTTAATCCTCTCAGCCTTCCCTCCATGAAATTATAGCAGTAATGTTTCCAGAAGTGATTTCTCTATTTTTCTGTGCATCCATATGAGGACACTGTGACATGTAGTCATATATATGCATACAAATATATGTGGGGAGTGTGTGTGTATTTTTATAATCTATTTGTAGCTAAAACAAATCTCCTGTTGTTTTTATTACTGTCAACACAAATATGTAGATATTTAATACTGAAGCATGTGTACGCTCAGACTACTCCAAGGCACATGTGAGATTTGTCAAACTAGATTCTGTACAGTTTTGTGTGTTACACAGTACATCGTGGAGTTGATATTATAAACAATACTTATTAGAGTGTTTTAATGATTTGGAGGATTAAATCTATGCAAAAACCTGTGGTTGTGGGCGCAACTTGATCTATAGGTAATATAGACTGAGTATATGTGGTGTGTTAACTGCATAGTATGTGAACATTTCATGTACATGTGTATTGGTCTCAATCTTTCAATGAGATCCACATGAATGAATGCTGTATCTGCTGAGTGACATTTATTTCAACTCGGCTTGACTGGAGATGAAAAGATTTTGCCTATATGGGGTACACAACTGGGGAGGGGAAGTTACGCAAATTTTTATTATAGCCATGGCAGAAATTATCAGGGATTAGGTAATTTATTATTGGAACAATTTATTTTGGGATGTGTCATATTTTTCATCAGCTGACGTATTTATGTGAAAAATATTTATCTTCCTTAGAGCATTTCTGAACCTAATCTCTGTTGTCTTATTAAAAACTCCAATGTCTTTGCAGACTGTCTGCATTCTGGTAGTTCTGTTGTCCTAATTGTCCATTCCCGTTGGCCATTCTGGTTTTAGACTTATGAAACTCTGTTCATGTCACATTAGAGCGATTCAATGTGAGTCTCCAGTATCAGAATCTGTAGAGACTTTGTTAAACTTACAGAGGTTGTGATATGTGCTGGTACTAACATGACGCTGTAATAAGACAGATAGGACATCTTAGCTTCACCATATATGCAAATAGGCATCTGCAAGATGCTTGTACTACTTATCATGCTTTGCAGGAAGAGTTTCATTTTTGCAAGATTGAGTTGGGTTTCTAATTTGTAGATGCCATAGTAAGGCTAAATTACTTTAATATTTACAAAGTAAAACTGGGTCCAATCTTTCAAGCACAGTTTAATGATTCCCTGTGGTACCTAAGACAGTGCAGAATGCCAGTTTGCCAATCACCACCGCCACACACACTCTGCTCAGACAGTTGTGGTTTTCCCTTACTGAGAAAAGACTGCATTTCCTTTCTGGCTGTGAACATTTTTTCTCCTATCAGCTAAACACAGAGCCCTTTATACTTTCTTGGACACTAAGGGAGAAGCTGTTTCTCTTTCTCCCCTTCACTAAATTGAAGGGTTTCCTTTTTTCTTCTAGGACCATCGTGGCAACAAGAAGACTCTGTATTTGCTCACTTTTTTCCCATCCTTCTAAACACTAGGCAGGATCTCCTGGTTGCTGCCTGCAAGGCTGCCCATCAGGATCACTGGCCATTTTGTGAGGGTAGAAAACATTTTAAATGAGATCTTAATTATAAAACCAGAACTAAATATAAGAAGAAAGGACTGAAAATAAAAAAATTGCTTCATATATGTATTTTCATTACTTAAAGCTTGAGTTATCTGTATTATCACAGAGAAGTCCCACCTCTCAGTGTCTTTTACCCACATCTGGGATCTTTGCTTCAGTTTCCTGCAGGTAACTTCTTCAGACCCATCAAGGGTGAAAAGCCAAGCATGAATCAGAACATGTCTGGAAGTACCATTTTAAATGCTCATTACCCTGTAAGGATTGTTTTTTCCCTGTGAAGAACTACTCCTTATTTAACTGATTCTTTCTAATCACATGGCAAACAATGTTGTATCAAAAAACCAGAACATATAACATTCGTGACATTTTCCAGAAACTAAAATAGTATTCCTTTACTAAAATAATACATACAAAAGAATCAAGTGCTTCAATCTATCATTTATCAGTGTCAGGAAAGAATATCTTGATAATTCTTTTTCCACCTTCCTCAGAAGCCTCAGGTGTTGTCTGTGGCCAGCTGGTGCCTATGACAAAGAGTCCCTGCTTTATGTGGTACAGGAACTCCATTCTAGTATTTTGATGTGTCTTGCTCAAATCCTTGGACTAATACTGTTACCATGTCTGTAGAGATGGGAAGGATTCTTTTGTCAACTTAGAAAGCACTTTGAAGTGCTTTCTTTTCTATACAGCACAAAAAAATGTTTTGTTTTCTGAGTTCAGGACTTCTGAGTTCATCTGATTTGGACATGTGCGGCCATTGGATCTTTGTTTGTTTTCTGCCCTTGGCACACACTATAGTTTTGTGGGAATGGAAATGTGTGGTGGTTTCAATAATGGCTGCTAAAAGAGCAAACTAACTGAATGACCCTTCTAGCCTTAATTTCTATGGTGATTATAAAGCCCTATGAAATAGAAGGATATGGTCAAGTTATATCGCTGTAAAATGATTACAAAGGATTAATAAAATGTTGGTACTTGTAAAGCTGTTATGACTACAAAGTAACATAAGTATTTGTATTCTATATTTTATAATGTTGTATTAGCATTTTTCCTTCAAAGCTGTTTTTTATTTAAGCTGTGCACCCAGAAGCAGATTTGTAGCATGACATGCTTTCTTTAATTTAGTACAGAAAGTGTGAGAGCACAAAGAAATGCAATGAAATCATTCTATCATTTAATTAGCATTAACTGTATATTTGTGCTGCATAAAATATTGACAGAATTCTCTTTCTGCTTTCTTGTCATGATTATTTAGGAAAAGAAGCCCATCAATATCAAGAGAACAGAACAGAAGATACGAGCAAAGGGACGAGCGAGACGAATATTCACAGTATGCTACATCAGACAGTGCGATGCCCAGGTCACCATCAGATTATTCAGATAGACGGTCACAGCGTGGGCCTCAGTTATATGAAGAACCTGAACTGGGTGATTATAGGGATTCCAACCGAAGGAGCCGCAGGCGTTCCAAGGAGTATCCGGTAGAAGAAGAAGATGCACAAAACAGGGAGGAATATGAAAGGCAGCGGAGAGAAGAGGAATACCAGGCACGATACCGAAGTGACCCTAATTTGGCTCGTTACCCAGTCAAGCCACAACCATATGAGGAACAAATGCGTATCCATGCGGAAGTGTCCCGAGCACGTCATGAACGGAGGCATAGTGATGTCTCATTGGCAAATACAGAGTTGGAAGATTCTCGGATGTCTATGCTCAGGATGGAACGGCCATCAAGGCAAAGATCAGTGTCTGAACGCAGGGCTGCCATGGAAAATCAACGTTCATACTCTATGGAAAGAACTCGAGAGGCTCAGGGGCCAAGTCCCAATCGTCAGAGGACCACAAATCATAGCCCTCCTACACCTAGGAGGAGTCCAATTCCTCTGGAAAGACCAGACATGAGGCGCTCTGATTCGTTAAGGAAACAGCACCATTTGGATCCCAATTCTGCTGTACGGAAAACAAAACGTGAAAAAATGGAGACCATGTTACGGAATGATTCACTTAGCTCAGACCAGTCTGAATCTATCAGACCTCCCCCACCAAAGCCCCATAAAACGAAAAAGGGAGGTAAAATGCGCCAGGTTTCATTAAGTAGCTCAGAAGAAGAATTGGCATCCACTCCAGAATATACAAGTTGTGATGATGTAGAGATTGAAAGTGAAAGTGTTAGTGAAAAAGGTAAGATTTCTAATTTTTGATTTTTTCAATATCTAGATGTGATTTAGATTTCATTACATTGTATATTTATTTTACCAATTTAAATTGATTGCCACCACTTATCTACAGCCCTTCACAGGTGACTGAAATTTTGTTGTGATGGGAGTTGGGCTTTCTGATTTTATGTTTCATTTACTTAGATCTAAAGTCAATGATTTACATGGAAAAGAACATCACAGCTACTAGAAGCATTAGGATATTTTAAAGGAAAAAAGCATGTCTATTGAAAAACCTGTCAATGAAATCTGCAAAGTAGCTAGAGCTGGTTTGTCATATAAGGCCATGGTTTCATGTCCATTAATACCAGATTTGCGTGCTCCTGGATCACAATGAGTGCATATTTGATCTGGATCAAGTGTGGGCCCATGACCACATTTTTATTGAATTAACTAGAGCACATGACACAGACCTTATGCCGGTTTCATGCTGGCTGCTGCAGGTTGAAGAGTATCTAATCTGCAATAAGACCTGTGTGTATAAAGTTAAGCCATCCAAGTTTTGAAACAGATTTGAAATGACTGATGTGGTTTATGCCAATGGAGGTTTCTTTTTCTTCTGGTACTATGGTGCTTTTTGGCTTAGTACTTTTTAGGATTAATGTTGGAGTTACTCCATTGTCAGAAAGAAAAGCTAAGATTGATTGAAATGAATCCCAACCTATACAAAGGTAATCTATGATTTAAATATGAAAGTATTGAGGACAATCAGTTTAAACTCAATCAAATTAATATTATTAGTTTGCTTACTTTCGTGTATGTTGTTGGTCTAAAGTACATTAGTTTTAACCTTTTTTTGAGTTACAAGTCTTATGGTAGTGAACCATTACTACTCCTCCCAAGTGGCCTTCTGCTGTTGTGGATTGGGAATAGAAGATTTGTTACTATATATAATTAATATGGCTATCAAATTGGTTCTGAAGCAAGTAATTAATTAGAGTTAGTTAAATAAGTCTGAGTTTTCGTATGTCAATATCAGCAACCGTGTTCTGGTAAGTCAGGAGCAGGCTAGTGTAGAATGGAAGGAAATTTCACCCAGGTCAAAGTAGTAGACAGTTACATGCACAAACAACTGTGCTGAAACCTTGACCTCCTTAGGCTTCCTGATGAGTAGAAAAAACTTCTGCCAACTTTATGGTGTTCATGATTTTGTTCTTAGAAGCAACCTTGAGGAAAATAGGACCAATGAATATATGGGAAGTATTAAAAAAGTGTTTATTTATGGCAATCCAGCATAGGAAACATAATATACAGAATAATATACAAATTATATTTTTTTTGTACACATAACATACAAAACATACACATTTAGGATTATAAAGGCATGGAATTGTTTAGGTTGGAAAAGATCTGTAAGATTATTGAGTTCAACTGTTAATTTAGCACTTCCATGGTTTCTAACACATCAATAACCCTTGTGTCTTTGCTGCTGCGTGGATCTCCATCCCCTACAGCAGACTGAAGGACCTCACTAGCACAATGTCCCTCAGATATTGGCCTGTTGCCTCCAGGCTTACCTGTAGCAAGCCTAGTTTTATGCCTTTTCCCCTTCAGATCTAGTTTAAAGCTCTCTCAATAAGCCCTGCTAAGACCTGCCCAAAGGTCCTTTTCCTCTTTTGAGACAGGCACCTCCCCCATTTGTTGTCAGCAGGACTGGTATCATGTGAACTGTAAACATGATCAAAAAACCTCAAAATTCTGCTGGTGGCACCAGGCTCGGAGTCAGGTACTGATCTGAAAGGAATCTTCCTTTCTTTCCTCATCATTCCCTTGAATTAGGATAGAGAAGAAGATCATTTGTGCTCCTGATCCCTTAAAGAGTCATCCCAAGGCCCTGAAGTCTCTTCTTGATTGCCCTTGGATTTCTTGCTGCCACTTCTTCTCTGCCTACCTGAAAAATCCATAAAAGCTGAGTGCCATTCTGGGATAGGAAGTTTTCCCTTTACATCTTTGACTGTGGTCCCAGAGCTGCACCAGACTTCGCCAAGAAATGGGTCCAGTCTGCATACTGGGCCTTCTGCTTCCTTCAGACAGTAGTTTAAAACATGCTATATGATGCTAGATTCTCTGTCATAATAATGATCTTACAAAAACTTACAGCTTTCACTTAAATAATTTTGTGTTTTAAGTGTCAAAGAAAACACTTTTATGTATAACAGTAGTTAATGACAATGCCATGTCTGTGCTGATTTCTGAGGCAGTGAATGAATCTCACTACCTAGATCCAGACTTCCCAGCTGCTATAGGTAGACACAGAAAGTCCTTCCTCATTCTTTTTGTTTTCATGAATCACTCTTACTGTGTAAACCAGCCTACATTCAGAGTCCCTATAAGCAAGTGATTTATTTGTGAATACCACCCAAAGGAATCCAGCACATAAACCACCATCAGTCTTCCTTGTATGGCAGTACATTGTTTCCTTAATTAATAAAATACGATTAATTATTTTAAATACATCATATAAAAATTAGTTTCTCCTCCCCCCGGATTAGTTGCTTTCTGGCCTTTAAAAATGCCCCAGATGTGAGGATTTCTGAGATGTCCTTTTGAGTCACATATGAAGTCTGTCTGGCCAAAGATAAAATGCTAAATATAAAACATTTGGCTTTGGAGTGTTTAAGGGTGGCAGTGTTAGCTTGAGTATTTGGATGCAGTAATAATGAGCTCTCCAAAAAGAGCAGAATAATGTTTTCTCCATCTCTTTCTCTGTGGAATACCCATATTTTTTCATAGATTGCGCAAATAAGTATTAACAACTGCTCTGCTGTTTAGAGCAGTCTGGACCTGAGCTCCAGGAATAGGTGTTCACTGGTTTGCATCTGAGATTTTAGAAGGCCCTAATGCTGGTTTTAAGAAACTAGTCTGAAAATTATGTATTTTCCAAAAATATAGGAAAAAAATATAGCTATATGCTCTTAAAAGGACTGAAAGCTTTCCTTGTAACCTTATCTTCAAAAGGAAAAGGGTCAATACATACATAGGTTGGGACATATATATGCACACAAAATGAAGATAGATATTTCATTCTGTGAGTTCAATGGAGACAGGTACCAGCTGCTGGATTAAGAGTTCTGGGAAGAGCATCAATTATTGTTGAATGCCTGTGACTTTCAGTATTTGGGTCTGATCTCATTTCAATAACTGTCTGCCTCAAGCTAATGTTTCTTTGATTTTTAAAAATGTAATCTAATTGTTTTCAGGGAAGAGACAAGGCAAAATTATTTTTCTGCATGTTTCTGGTGATGGCCAGAGAAACCATTGCCTTGGAATGCTCCTGCCTCCTCTGTGGGAGACAAGGGAAACTGTGAGCAGAGAAAGCTGATGAATACTCTGACAGGACTTGGGTACCCCATAGACAGTCATGTGAAACACAAGCAGGTTCAACTGCAGAAAAGAAGACCTAGATTCTTAAGATACTGGGTAGTTTTTGTAATGCAAATATATTAGGACCAGGAAATTTGGGTCATATGCCAGACTGAGAACTGGCATATTGAAATGGGAATCAGGAGGCTTCAGGAGAAGCAGATAAGGGAAGGAAGTTTAGGAATGGCAAAACAAAATGTCATTGGTTGTCTGGAAACTGGTGGATTGATATGGGAAGGGAGGCTGTAGGAGAAGAGGGAAGAGCAAAGCTGGTAGATCTAGTAGGCAAAACCTGTAACCTGTAGTTTAGGAAGAGCAGATAAAGTGAAGGAAATCAGGCTGATAGAGATAACTGGTAAGGTGAGAACAGGAACTTTCTGAAGGGTAGGTTAGAGGATTCTAAGAAGCAGAATCAGCATTTTGGGAGAGATGGTGAGTGGCTGGGAAAAGGGCATTCAGAGAGAAGGGAAGGAGGGCTAAACTTGGCTTGGGATTTTTTGCAAAGAGAGACTGGAATGGGGACCTGGCAGCATTGACCTGAAGTGCTAGAGGGTGTTCGGTGAGAAGTGTAAGACTGTGGCGAGGAGAAAACATTGGGACAGAGCAGTTTATTCTTTAAAAGCTCAGGAAATATGTATGGCAACAGTGTTAAATGGACATAGCTGAGATTACAAATGTGTTTACCTGAAACTTAGGTTGTGTTAGAATTAGACATATTTTGCAGGCTGAATTTTATGCAGCTCTTCATACAGGTTCAAACTGTCCCTAGTGACACAACTGAATACCAATTTACCAGCTGGCCTCTGCCTTTTTCTTTGCATAGGATGAACATTTCTTGCTTATTATGCTATTCAAATTATTCTGAAGCTTCCAACATTTTTTCCACATTATCTAAGGCACCCTTCTTTACTCTTGCTGTGAATAACAGGCTTCTGAAGCTGCAAATACAGTGTCTTCATTTGTAACACTTGTTGCCAGTCCTGGTGATCAGTGTATCAGACAGTTCAAGGCTGCATCTCCACTGCAGGATTCCCTGCCTGTCTTAGGAAATACACTTTGGAGAGAAAAAAACCCCAGAAAGTTTTGGACCAAAAACATATGTTTCAGACCAAAATATTAGGTATATTGCTATGTCCCCTACCACTGAAAGATCAAAATTGCTTAAAATGTTAGAGGAAAGCAATTCTTGAAATGCCAGTAATTTAAGAAATTGTGAATTTTAAATGGCAGTAAAATTGATCCTCCATCAATAAACCCAGAGATCATAATGATGTATTTACAAGTGTTCTAGACTGTTCAAGTCACTTATTCTTTCTCAAAACCATCTCAGTTTACATAGTTCGGTTCCAAGGCTCTAAGAAACATGGTTTATACAGCGAGAACAGTTGTGGTGTTAATTGCAGTAAAGTGAATATTGAACTATGTCAGCTACAGAACTCCAAATAAAGCTGGGTTTTGTGCCGTGCAAGTTAGGCTGAGCTTTCTGCATTGCTTGTCCAATTTAAGTGTCTTCTATTGCAAGGAAATGTTAGAGTATTTTTTGTTTGTATTTTCAGTTAGATGTTTGCCAGTGCAATTGTAAGGAATAGGCCCCGGGGGAGG